CACACGGTGAGGATGGAGGCGGGGCTTTAGGTGGAACTCGATCAGACACCTCGCCAAGCCGCCATGTTTCGCGCGTGTGGGTGGTCAGCGGAGGACCCAACTCTGGGAGGGGGGCATCGAGAGGCCCAGCCTGGGCTGACAGACCAGTGTCCCCTGCTGTCATAGAGCGGGACCCAAATTCAACCGGCCACCCAATAATCCCAGTAAGACCCGCAGCTGGATCAGGGGAAAGGCTGTCATGTTTGGAATGGAAATGGTAAAGAAGATAAAACAACCCGCTGGCCCTCAGCCTTTTAATTTCACTTCATCACTGCTTCCCTCGTTTGAATTGTTCTCTGCAACATTAAGAATGAAAAAACTTCTCATGGAAAAAGCAGGCGTTACTAAGAAACGCTGCAAAACAGCCCCCCCCCCACCCCCCCCATGAGCAACACGCACCCAAACAAACGCATATCAGTCTGATGGCCTTAATAGCTACATTTGGACAATTGAGCATTCAGGAAGAATTGGAGCAGACACAGAGAAAATGGACAGTGATATCTGTTTATCCTTGCATTAGGCTTGAGGCTGGCGGGGTTAAACGCTGGGGGGGGTGATAACGCCGCTGGCTGCTGCCCAGGAAGGCGCTGTTTAGACAAACCTCCCACTTTTTCCTCTTTTTATACAGCTGAGCAAAAACAATAGAAACAGACACAGAGTCCGTGATCTCCACTCCAGCCAATCGACCTTGCAGCCCTGGCTGGACCAATGAAATGTTCCGTTTTAATCTGGGATATACATGTGGTTGGTTGGTACCAGTAGCCAATTGCAGGGTCCGCTAGACAGAGGTGCAGGATGACCTTTTTAAAAAAAAAAAAGAAAAAAAAAAGAAGCAGAGTGTAATAATTTTGGCTGTAACTACGCAGACACAGGAGTGTGCAGAGCGCCATGGAGAAGGGATGCAGACGGCAGACGCTGCTGTAGAGCCATTTAGGAATTAGCACCTACGAGCAGCTAGCTTTCAAAATAAATACCGCGCCCCCCCCCACCGCAACTCCTCCCCAGCTCCCCCACCCCCCGACAGCAAGGTGCACGCCTCTTGCAGATGAATGTCCAAGGGGGCCTGTGGGGGCCAGTGGGGGCCTGTGAGGGCCAGTGAGGGCCTGTGGGGGCCAGTGAGGGCCTGTGGGGGCCAGTGGGGGCCTGTGGGGGGCAGTGAGCGCCTGTGGGGGGCAGTGAGCGCCTGTGGGGGGCAGTGAGCGCCTGTGGGGGCCAGTGAGGGCCTGTGGGGGCCAGCCACAAAGCGGGATGCTCCACTGGCATGGAGGAGAATCTCCACCATTACCTCAAACCACAACTAGACTACAAGGTGGGACAAATGCTAATAAATAAAGAAGTAAATTCACAAAGTCCAAAGCCAGTGGCGACCTAAGGCATACATGTGGCGTGCATAATGGGCAGAACGCTATTTGGGTGTTTTTAAATGAGTCACTCATTACAGAGTCTGAGTCACAGAAATCTGGGGGGGCGGGGGGCCATTACCGCCGCAGGCACAGCAGTGGGAAACAATGAGCGGACCATCTTCTAAACCTCGCTAAAGATATGGACAAAAAACCTAAGATGGTGGGAATTCTTTCCCCCCTCGAACCCACCTCATTCGAAGAGGAATACGGGGGTGGTTTTTGCTTCCCCAGAAACTCCGAAGCCCCCCCTGCCTCTTTAACTGCCTTCGTCTGCCAAACCACCCCCCTCCCCCAAGGATAACCCCAGACCCTGGTCAGGGATACAGACGACCACAGGAAAGCAAAAGAGGGTGGTCAGGACTTAGCATGCATTAACTGGGGGGAGATTTAAACCCAAGGCTTCAGCAGAAGCCTGCAGTTAATTTTAGGGATTAATGATTATCATGTGAGGTGAGAGACTCAGGCCAGAACCAAGAGCATCTGGCGAGTTTCGCTTATTTAGCCTCATCGCTGGACGGCAGCCGGGGATCAGACTGAGTGAGCAGACAGACAGGAGAGGTGCGGGTGGCTTTGAACTGCCCATCAGCCGCTGGTCACACTGCAGAGGTACTACACCATCACAGGGCTTTGGGCCGCCCATCAGCCACTGGTCACACTGCAGAGGTACTACACCATCACAGCGCTTTGAACTGCCCATCAGCCACAGGTCACACTGCAGAGGTACTACACCATCACAGGGCTTTGAACTGCCCATCAGCCACTGGTCACACTGCAGAGGTACTACACCATCACAGCGCTTTGAACTGCCCATCAGCCACAGGTCACACTGCAGAGGTACTACACCATCACAGGGCTTTGAACTGCCCATCAGCCACAGGTCACACTGCAGAGGTACTACACCATC